TTTTTTTCCCCCTTTCTTCCATGATAAGAAAAGGCAAAATCAGGACCTGGAAAGGGCAGGAGCAGCAGAATTCCCACCTCATGCTCTCCAGAGCTGCTGCAGCCTAGGAAACCCCTGGAATTCCAGCAGCCCTTCCCCAATTCCCCAGGATCTGCAGCCCCTCAGCCCCTCACTGCCCTCAGCCCCACAAACCCCACAACCAACAGTGCAAAACCACCTCCCAGAGGGGGAAAGAGTCCCTATTAATAACCAATAAATGATTAATGCGCCCGTGCTAACGAACTGCCGCTGCTATTAATCAATTATTAATTATTAATGTGGTGTTTGTGAGGATGTGCCCGAAGCGGAAGGTGCCAGAGTGGCACCTCCAGTCCTGTTTTTAGGGAAATCGGGGTTTGGGAGGGGTTAAAAGGAATCACATCGGCACAGGAGAGCTCAGACTTGGCACGGGGTGGGGGCCAAATCCCTTGGATGGGTCTGGGAAATTGGGAACTGGGATGGGGAAACTGCCTGGGGAAACTGAGGCACGGGGTGGGGGGGCCACTGCGGCGGGGACACGGGACAGGAACCGGTGGGGAGGGGGAGGTGACTCCTCTGCCACCTCCCTGTGCCCTCCCCTACCCCGCCTGGCCCCACTCAAGGCCACCCCCGCCTTTGGCTGCGCTGCCATCGCTGTCCCCACAGAGCGCAGTGTCCCCTTGTCCCTGTGTCCCCTGCCAGCCCCCGGTCCCGGCTCTCCCAGCACGGACTGGGCTGGCACTGGGCTGGCACTGGGAAGGGACTGGGAAGGGACTGGCACCGGGAGCGCTGCAAAGCAAAGCAAAGCAAAGCAAAAAGCAAAGCAAAGCAAAGCAAAAAGCAAAGCAAAGCAAAGCAAAGCAAAGCAAAGCAAAGGAAAGCAAAGCAAAGCAACGCAAAGCAAAGCAAAGCAATGCCTCCATCTGCTGGAGAATCGAGCCCTGGGCCGTTCCAGCCCCAAATCCCACCCTCCCCGCATTCCCTGGGGTCCGGGGGTGTCTCCCAGCGCCCACCCCAAGGCTCGAGGGAGGGTGGCCCTGGGTGCCAAATACCGGGGAGCCGCCGCCCCCAAGGACCGGGCAGGAGCTACCGCGGCAGGAAGGAGGAAATTGGGGTTTTTCGCTCACTTCCTGCTTCAAAATGCTTTTGGTGGCTCGGGGAGGTGAAAAGTCGCGGTGAGAGTTGCTTTTTGCACGCAGGGATCTGGGGACACCGTGGGAGCCCCCCTGCTCCTTTTGGGGTGAGCTGTGGGGTGGGAGAGGCTGAGAGAGCCCCCAGGTGGGTTCAGTGTCCCAGGGCTCACCCCAGAGCACCCCCGGACTGAGAAGGATGTCATGGAAAAAATGGCGAAAAAATAAAGACAATTGAAAAAAATGAAAAACGAAAAAACGCAATTTTCCCGAGGCTGCGTTTGCAGATCCCAGCAGGGAGAGAAAGTGATTTCCTCACAAACCAAAAATGCTGGAGCAAAGAAAAGCTTCCCTGCATCTGTGCCCCAWATCCAGGGAGGAGAGGGCTCGGTGGCACCTGGTCTAGAGCCTGCAAATGCCGTCGGTGACATCAGGGACATCAGTGCCTTCAGGGATATCAATGCCATCAGGGCCATCAATGCCATGAGGGACCTCAGGGACATCAGTGCCACCAGTGCCATCAATGCCATCAGTGCCATCAGTGCCATCATTAATATCAGTGCCATCCGTGCCATCAGTG